TGCCAGAAAGCTGGCAGGTTTTGCAATCTGGAGAGGAAGCTCTTCCTGCTCATTCGGGCTCCCTGCTGTGTTGGCAGGTTTGCTGTCCCCTGCAAATGTGTAGCTCATGGTCACTGGCCACCAGGCCAAAGGGCTGAGCCCCTTTGTGGAATCAGGAAGGTGAAGCTAATTGGCAGCGTCTTGAAGTGAGCTCCTATTTTATTGTAGGAAAAAAAATAATGTAAACGGTTCCTTTAGGAGAGTACTGAGGTTTTTTTTTTGGTTGGGTGGTTTGTTTTTTCTTTTTTAAAGATATTTGAAAATCTTATTACTCTTGTACCTGTTTTGGGCAGGAAAAATGGCTTCCAAGTGGGAGGGGGTGCCCTTTTTTCCTGTTCCTTCCTAGCACTGGTTCAACAGGGATTTGGAGAGTTCTCAGCGGGCTCCATCAGCTCCTTGCTGGAGTTGTGTGGGTTGTGCATCTGCTTTTACCAGGGCAAGCAGCCGGCGACTCCGAGAACACCCCCAACCTTACCAACTGCTGCGTTATCGCTCCAGAAGAGGGCACAAGGAGGTGCCAACGCAGACAGACCTGGGCCAGGTAAGGAGCTCATCTAGGTCGTTTGGTTTCGTTCAGTTAGTTCAGTCATACATGTGTTTTCCTTACTGTGATGTATTTGAGGTGGGGGGTGGCATTTTTAAAGCAGATCCTAAGCTCTGGAATCCAGTTTTTTGACAGAATAATGAAGTGTGACGTTTTAAATTTTTTTTTCTTTTATTTTTGCAAGTCCAGGCCTTGACATGGAATCCTGAACTCATTTCCGTACGACACTTGCTGGAAATGAGAAGGGTCAAAATTTCCAAGTGAATGTTGTTGATCTTGAATGGCTTTCCAGTTCGGCATCCCGATCCATCGTGCCCAGAGGCTTTCACGTGGGTTCTCAGGAGGGGCCTCTTAGCCTTTTCAATTAGAGGTCTTCAAACAGACACATCTACATGGACCTAAAATACGCGGTCTGGGTGCGAGGTTCCTCCTGTCCCATAAAGGACTCCAGAACCTTTAATCTTCAATGTTAAGACTTAGTCCATCAGCTTCAACTTTTCTCAAGTTCATTTAGATGAAGCAAGTCCATCAAGCTCTGTATGTTTTTCATTCCAGATGACTTCCCCCTTGTTGATTCCACCGTAAAACTACCACCACCACATCCTTCAAACAGTTCCTTCTAAGCAGGGTACCAAAGGATGTTTGCTAGAACCCATTGCTGCTAGTAATCATGACCCGTACTCTATGTTTTGATGTTTTATAAAGTTATTTTAATAGTTATTTGTAGAATAACCTGTGAATGATAATACATACTGCTCTTTGTATCAATATATTTGATCACTACATTTCTGTGATTCTATGATTCTATATTAGATTTATGTAGGTGATTATTTTTTATGACAAATAATTTTTTCAAATAATGATCTGCAGAGACCCCTCCAGGAATACTGCAGAAAACCAGAAAATCTTTGGGTGTACCTACTGGAAAAAAATCTTCAGGCAAGTTTGGGTAAGAAATATTTTTTTTTATTTCAACACTGTAACATAAAAGGACCTCATTTGCTTTTGTGCATGTTGTAATGTTTGCAGTGTGAACTTTTTGGTATTAACTGAAGCAACCGATTGCACTGAAAACTTCTGCGGAGCTCCTCATGCCCTCGCTATAGGCTGCTGAGAATATTCGTTTTGGTGTTGGGTGTTCTTTGGTTTGGAGCAGCTCCATCTCAAGCAGGCAGCGACCGTGTTCTGCCGTAACAGGCATCTCGAGAGGATTCGCTGCTTGGAAATGCAAACCCCTCTAGCAGGTCTTGTGCTCTCACAATGTGCTTCCGTTGTCTAAGTGAGGAAGATGCCAGCATCCATTTCAGTAAGTACTATGTCAGGATGACAGTGTGGAGGTTCTTTCTTCCCCTCAACGTTTACTTTCCCAGTCCATGATGTTTGGTGCTTCTGCTCTTCAGACGATGCAGTCAGTGTTGTTCCCACCCTGGGCCATGCAGAGCCATGTCAGAGCCGCGAGAAGGGCGTCCAGCCGCTGCTTAAGGTGGTTGTGGTGCTGTGGTGCAAGTGGATGGTTCTGATGATCAGCATCTTGCACTCCTGTGAGATGCACACAACTGCTGAGTATGAGATCCTGGGAGGCAATGTGGCCAAGATGGATTCCCTGTAGCTGGCAAGATATTTTGAGCCTGGCAGATGAGCTTGTAAGGGTGCTTGGAGCGTGGGATGAACGGGAGTCTGCACAAAACAGTCTGTTGCACAGACTCATGTTCAAAGTCTTTGTAGGGTCCTTCTGTGTGGAGTTTTGCTGTCCTTGATTGCTGCTGGCCAGTAGCTAGGTACCTTCAGCTGTGGGGAAGTCTGCCATGGGCATGGGAGCGTTCAGTTCACAGTGCCATCATCAACCCTACCCACCTCCTCGACTTTACCAGCTCCAGGAAAAACTGTTGACAGCACCCAGTGGTCTCCCTGGGTGCTCTCCACTCCCTGAGTTACCTGTGACTATGTTAACAGCCTAGTTAACTCATGGTTACCATGCAGAGTCGAGCAGACCACCGAGAGGGATTTACTGATACCATCACCATTCTCAAGGTTTAGCTACTGAACTCTGAAACCTGGGGCTTGACAGGCTGCTGGAGGAGACAGCTGGTGCCTCCAGCAGGTCCCCAGGACAGACATCCACCCTAGCGTCCAAAATATAGGAAAAAGTCCTGGATGTCCCTGGGAACCGTGGAAGCGACCAGTTGAGCTTGTAGGTGCTGGGCTGTTTGCAACTGCTGCTGCGTTTTCTGTAAAACTCGAGCTTTGCCAGGTGCTTTACAGAGCACTTTGGGCTAGTGAGATCAGTTTCAGGGCCACCCAAGAGTGCTTTTTAGCTGAGAAAGGAGACATGAGAAACTGGCTTTGAGCGCTACAAATAAACGTTCTCATCCTTGAGGTGCCTGGAAATGGTTTCCACGATGAGCTGCTCCATCACCTTCCCTGGGATCCGGGTTTTAACTTTTTAGATAAAATGGAGTAAAATATAAAATAACAATTATATGGCTTGTTGCTGTTTTCAGACCGCAAACGCACAACAGAAGATAGAGTGGCTGGTTGGCAAGGATGCGTCAAACGGGTTCTTCTGACGCATTATGGAAGACCTTAAGCAGCACAATTTTCCAGCACCTCTTCCACCTCAAGTGCTACAGGTTCCACATTCAATAAAACAGGCAAACCAAAGTTCACGGTCTGTTTCCCCACCACTCCCCACCCCAGGCTACAAAGCTTATTATGCTGTCCTTCAAAAAGTTGTGAGATTATTTGTATCAATTGCCAAAATTTAATTAAATGATTGCCCACAAGGGGATGGATGTTACCAGCGGTTCATTCAATGGTTTAACAAAATGTAGAAAGATCCAGTATCATGTGATTATTATTTTTTATTATTAATTTCCCCCACCCCCCCCCAATGCTTTGCTTTGATATATTGAACAAGGCAAATGTACATCTTGGAATTTCATGTATGTAGTTAACAGAATCCTCCAGTAAACAATAAGCGATGGTGATCGATAAGTGATAAATGGCCATGTACGCTGGGCATCAGCTTCAAAGCGTTTCAAGTTCAGAGTAACTAAAACCAAATCACGTTCCCACATTAAAAACTTCAAATTGCTTTTAGAAAGTGATTGATAAAACAGAAATGTTGCGGAGGCGTATTCCTTCTTCCCAGTAAGGGGAACAGCACACTGGAACAGGCTGCCCAGAGAGGTTGTGGAGTCTCCTTCTCTGGAGATGTTCCAAACCCGCCTGGACGCGTTCTTGTGTGATCTGATCTAGGTGGTCCTGCTCCAGCAGGGGGATTGGACTAGATGATCCTTTGAGGTCCCTTCCAATCCCTGACATGCTGTGATTCTGGGATTTTTCGGCCACCTGATCTATTCCCAGCCTTGGATCACCTTGCATAAACTTTCAATGTTGCGACATGTTGGGTTTTTTTTTTAGCCCAACGATTTCCAATAAGGTTTTCAATTAAAATCTGTAAGGAATTTTCTTGCCTATTAAATGTTGATAAAGTAAATGAAGATGAAAGTAGTTGGACACAGCAATGATAAATACCAGACTTGACGGAGTTTAATTAAGCTGTACTTAGGCTCTAGCTAATTAGATCTATACAGAAAGGATGACACTGAAGCAAGTGTAACTCCTACAGCTTGACTCCTAGAAACAGTGGGCATGAAATTAGCCCAAATTTATCAAAAGCTAAGCAGCCTTTTCTTTGATCCAGGAAGAGGGAAAAAACTACCATAACAAACGCTCCTGTGTGATGTTATCAAAAGTCAGAGCAAGTTCTACTGCGTTTGTTGTCCCATTATTTTCTGTGTGTAGAAGTGTTTCACCACTCACTTTCTAGTGTTTTACAGAAAATACAGTTATAGGGGCAGGAACGGTGTATTGAAGAACTGTAGGTAAAAATTCCGCCAGCAGGAAGTGAATCAATCATTAATAGAATCATAGAATCATAGAATGGTTAGGGCTGGAAGGGACCTTCAAAGGTCATCTAGTCCAACCCCCCTGCAAGGAACAGGGATATCTCCAACTAGATCAGGTTGCTCAGGGCCTCGTCCAACCTGGCCTTGAACGTCTCCAGGGATGGAGCAATACATACAGCGTACCATCCGGTTGCCGACTGGCTTTGGAAAACTCTCTGGAATTAACAGCAACTCATTGGTTAAGAAAATGGAGAGTCCCACCAGGAACAGCTGGTAAATAAAACCGAAGGGAAAAGAAACGAACGTGGTTTCTGATAGGGGATGGGAACTGAGAACTTGAAATACTTGTTTACACAGGATGCAGTCTCTTGTTCCATGTAGTGTAAGTTTTGCTCCTTATTTCAGTAGGTTTACATGGCTTCCTTTTTTTTTTTTTTTAAATAAATACATTTTTTTGTAAGAGACCAAATGTTTACTAAGTTCTGTTATTTTCCGATACCATCTCATTATAGTAATTCTGTTTTTCAGCTGTCACATATTGCTCTGCTTTTACAGATTTTCAAGCAGAGTTCAGGTAAGAGTATTTTCATCTCTATGAGGCCAAATACCCTAACACCTCCCAGAGGGTCAGATCTTTCTGGTCTGCACCTTACCTGCCATGCCACAGTCTGTCCTACCTCCCCCGTGCCAGCTCTCTGCCTTCG